ATAACTAATTTGCGCTGAAGATGGTTTGATAGAAGCCGAAACGTTCGCTAAGGATTTAATGTAAGGAATATTGGAATAAATCAAGAATATATACGCACCAAGAACTGCGTGGGACTCTTAACTGCCTTTGTCATCTGTTTAATATCAAAAATAATATGTTTTACTACGTTTTTCTAAAAACTTATTGACTTGCCGTTGTAACTTTGCATCCACATTCTTTGTGAATTGTTCAGAAATTATCTGAATATACGGAATAGTAAATCATATAACTTTATAAATTTTTTTGTGGTATTATTAGCTCTTGGAGTCTGATTCCTTTTTTTTAATAAAGAATAATTACAATTGAGTCGAACCCGTCTAGTAACTTAATTATAGTACATTAGTGCGCGTTTGTTGGGGTATAGTTCATCAGTTAATCCCTATATATTTGTAAACGAGATGTTCTTATGTTTAAATAGATCGATAGGTTTCGTTCTCTTGAGTTTTCTCACTACACACGATCGTTCCAACAAATGGCGTATCTCAGTTCTCTCGTGTTATAGATGCTGTTTCTCATGCTTTGCTGCATGTTTCTCTATGACTTCATTGACGTATTTCATCCTTAGATCTTTATGCAAGTTGTCAATTCTTATGTACCAGGGCATCTACGATATTCCGAAGGCCTTTCTTTGGAATCTTTGGATACCATCCATATTCATCTTTTTGGTACAATCCTTGAGTTGGTACCGTACGTTTATATCGACTTCAGGATTTGTCGATATAAGAGCAACTTATTGTGAGTGCTCAACTCGGAGTTTCTTCCTAATAACTAGTACATGTTTCTATATCTGATGTTGAGTTTTTTATTTTCTATTTAACATGTTCTTTCTATTTGAGTTCTGCATAGAGTCATACCAAATTATTTGGCTGTGTTTACCTAGGTTATTTTCTGCAAGTTGATTTCAATAAATATCTTCCTTAGCAGTAATTTGATGCAAGACTGCCGCAAATCTGAGGTAGCAGATTATAACATTCTGATGGCAAAATATATCAAGAATCTCTGCAAGAATTGTAGCATTTTTTCGCCAGAATCTGTATATTATTTTTGTTGAAAGAATCTTATATCAGGCTGCTGAGAGAGAGAGAGAGAGAGAGAGAGAAAGAGAGAGAGAGAGAGAGAGAGACTGCTAACAGACTGTTTATAGACTACAGTCATGGAAAGAATCTTTGATAGAGAATCTTTGAAGAACCTTAAGATAGCTCTGTAGCAAATATCAGCAAATAGTTCATTTGGATGTATAAATCTTGCATTAAATTGTTAAATTCTGTTACAATTAATTGCACATAGATTTTGCTCTGCAGAAAATTGCAGAAAATGACTAGGATTGTTAACTTTGCAGTTTGTAAAAATTTTATGAGTCGATTTCGTTTAGTTTGATTTGCCATCTTTTTGTCCAGTTACTGCATTGGCAGCTCTCTATAGTTTACTAGTTAATTTTTCTATGCAGTCATCAGTTGCTAGGATCGCTGTATCATCGGCAAAGGTAGCCAATATTTACTTCTTTCTGAATTGATATATCACTAGTATAGTAGGAATATAACTGGTTTCA